TGTGCTCTTCCGATCTATTTAAAGTTTTTTTATCCAGTTAGTATTTTCTGAGATAAAGGGGGGGTCCGATATTTTATGAACACCCTGTATATATATAGAGTAATTTAGAACAACTCCGGTGTCCTTGTAAAGACGTATTTTTAACTCAATTCTAAGACAATTTTTCCTTTATAAAAATTTTGTCCGAAGCTTAGTTTTCAAATTAAAACGAGAAATAGTTAGCGAATTACGGGGCGCATACGGAAGGTAGAGCGGCGCAACTTATTGTCCACCGGCAGGCAGTACGCGGGATTATTGCGACGATCAGCTGACTATATGCGCGCGTTTAAGGATTTGGTTCTGATAAAGTATTGGAATGACGATGCGATCTTGCAACATTAGACAATCTTGCACCACTGTTAAATCCTCTCGGCGGCGATGAAGCGCTTTGAGCTGAGGTTCGTCTAAAGATGTGAGCCAACCGGTTAATGTGAATTGTATAGCTTGCTGCATAATGAGATCCACCTTGATTGCTTCTTGAATCTCTTTGAATGTGACTGGTATGTTTTGCAAAGAGTTTTGTAAGGCGGCTGAGATGTCTTCTTCGAGATGAATTGAGGCGATAACGGTTTCTTCGTCTGGCTTCTGCTGTTGACTGATTAATCTGGACAAAACATCTGCATGGCCGAAATCCATTGTTTTGACATATTGGATTTGAAAATCGTATGCTAGAAGTTGGAGAGCCCAGCGTTGTAGCCTATTAGCAGTGTGGACTAGAATGCCCTTTTTGAGACCAAAAATACTTAGGAGAGATTTGTGGTCTGTTTGAAGAGTGAATTTCCTGCCAAAAATCATTTTATGAAATTTAGTTACAGCGAAAATTATGGCTAAACCTTCCTTTTCGATTTCACTGTATTTTTTTCGGTTTCTGTAAGGCTGCGAGAAGCGTGACAAATTGCTTTGACTGTGTGGTCTGGAAATTTATGCAAGATGCAAGCGCCAATGCCGTCGTTTGAAGCATCAGCTGCAACGATAATTTCGTATTTGGGATTGTAGTGGGTAAGCAATTTGGATTGAAGAATTTGTTTAAATTTATCGAATGACTCTTGACACTGGCGAGTCCAATTCCAAGGTACATTTTGCTTAAGAAGTAGATTAAGAAGTTGTTTGAGAGTATGCATGTGAGACATGAAACGACCGTAATAGTTGATAGCGCCTAGAAATGCTCGCAACATAGTGACGTTTGTAGGAACTGGCATATTGACTATAGCAGAGATCTTGTTTGGATCTGGATGCAAAATCCTTGGTCATCTATGATATAGCCTAGAAATTTTATCTGTTTTTTGAAAAAGGTACATTTTTTCTATGCAAACGTGAAATCCATATGATTGGATACGCTCGAATAATTTGAACAAATTTTGATTATGTTCTTGTTCTGTAGTTTCTCCGATCACTATGTCGTCAATATAAGCAAAGATATTATCAAGGCCTGCGATCATGGAATCGACAATAGCTTGAAATTTACCCGGAGCGGTTGTAACACCGAAGGGTAAGCGATTGTAGATATATAGTCCTTTGTGAGTATTGATTGTTAGAAGATGACGTGATTGTTCATCAACTTCTATTTGTAAAAAGGCATCTGAGAAATCGATGTGGCTATAATATTTGCAATTTGAAAGTTTAGCAAAAATCTCATCGGGATGAGGTAACGGATGTCGATTTGGTTCCAGAGAATTATTGAGGCCTGTGGAGTAATCGGCGCAGATACATGTTTTGTTATTTTTACGGACTACGACAATGGGCGTTGCCCAATAATAATTTACAGGAGTGATGATACCTGCCTGTCCGAGGCGTGTGAGCTCTGCATCGACGACTGGTAATATAGAGTATGCGACGGGTCTTTTTGGGCGGAAGACAGGTCTAGCGTCTGGTTTTTGATACAGATGAACTTTAGTTTTCGTACAACGACCCAATCCTGGCTTGAATACCTCTGGGAACTTTTGTTTAAGAGTATCAAGCTGAAAACTATGAATGTGGTTTGATGAATGTGCGACATGATAGCAAAAGATGTCGAATGAACACTTCCAGAGATTAAATTCGTTTAGCCAATCTAATCCGATGATATTTGAATCAGAATTTGGCGTAATGTAACAACGTAATTATTTAGTGTGACTGTTTATGTAGACTGAACAGTCAAATTTGGATAGAATATTTAGAGTATTACCTGAAGCGTCTCGTGCAATGTGTTTGGATACCTGAGTTTGAGGTTGCCTAAGAGAATACCATGTATTTTGAGAGATAACCGTGATGTCAGAGCCCGTATCAAATTGGAGTTTTACTGGATGAGAGTTTATTTTCACATTAACGAATTTTCGTAATGGAATAGTACTAACATGATTTACTATGGAGGTGACGTTCGTCTGCTGAGATTGCAGCTTCTTAATTAATGAATTACTGGCAGTCCTCTTGCTGGAGTAACAGTATCCATCCTTGTGACCGACCTCGTTGCATTTTTTACATTTGTGGTTCTTGTAAGTGCAGTCTTTGGAATAGTGTAGTAAACCGCAGAACCAGCAAGGTGTAGATGGTATTTTCTGCGAGTTGGTTGATTTGTTCTTGTGTGGTTGCGTTTGATGAGTTCCCTTTTTCCCCTTGTTATTGAATTTGAATGTCTTGTTTTGTTTAGCTATATTCTTGTCATCTTTGATAGCTGCAACTGTCCCTTTTTGGGTTTTGCCTAAGGAAGTGTCAGCTTTTAGATTGATGAATCGCTGACATTCTATTGTAAGATCTTCGATTGTGAGAGTACTTGGCTTCGAATCTATCTTATTTAACAACTTAGTGCGAATGTCTGCATTAGAAGGGGAACGCATTTCACAGACAAAAATTAAACATTTAAACTGGTTTGCTGTGATTTGTGAAATTTGAAAATCTTCGCATTTTTTATTGACTTGAGCAGCATATGCCACGAAATCTTCTTGGGAAGACTTAGTTATATTCATGCAATTATATCTTTGATTGAATAATGATATTTTTTTGCCGAACATTTGCTTGAGTCGAGTAACTGTATCCGCGAATGAGAATTCTTTTGGCTCGCGAGGAAGAATGTAGTCTACATACTGTTTGTGACATACTGTATTTATTTTCCGTAAGAGTAACCTTATACTTTAGCGGCGTCATCTAAGTTCTTGGCGTCCACGGTGAAGAGCCCTTCGTACCTTATGAACCATGCGTCGAAGGTTAGGTCATTTTCTGGATCGTAGACGAACTCAGTGATTCCGTTCGCGAGAGATTCTGTTTTTATTTTTATGTGAGAAGCTGATGTGAGAGCCATTGATAGCTTTTCCACAAATGCTTGTTGTTGTTTAAGGAAAAATTCCTGTTGAGCCTGTTCTTGAACCTGTTGCTGTTGTAGGAAGGACTTCCGTGATATCCGACATGTTGCTGTCGGAAAGTAATATATCTTGCGAGGTGGAATGCGGATGCAAGAATTCCCGTGCTAAATGCTAAATCCTCGTCGCCACTGTTGTGTCCTTGCGTGGAAGGAAGATACGACACAAGATACTGAATATAATTAAATGTTTATTAATTACTCGGATACAGTGAGGTAACACGTGCGCTACGCAAGTCTCTCTCTGTCTGTCTGTGTCCGTCCTCAGTCCCCTAGGTCACGTGTCTCCGTGTGTAGCGCGCCCTGGTAGCGCGCATATTATGATTCCGATACAACAAGTGTAATTTACAGAAATATTCTAATAAGAATTAAATATTATTCTTCTTGTTTTACATATTCTTCTTGATCAAATTATCCAGCTTTGAAATTGTTAACGTTCAAAGACGCGGAAAGACACTAATAGTGGTATTTGAGTCACTCTATTTCCTTATTTTATATCTATTGAAAGATAAAGATAGATTAACACAAATAGCGCAAATAGTATTTTCTCTTGATGACACTGATAATCCAATTGTCATGTTTATTCTGTTGCAAGAAGAGGAAATGAATTTAAATATATACTAAGACTGGTATTTACAGTTGAATCTAACATTAAAAATCGTCTTAAATTAATTTGTGTTGATACTATAGTATTTATACATTGTTGAGTATAAAATTATGACAGATGTTATAATGCAACTGATGCTCTTACGTTAATCGACTAATTAGTATATGTTTCATTAATATAGTTTGCGATCTTAGGATAAATTTGAACGATTTTTACATCAGAGCATCAGACCAATCTGTAAATATTAGCTTTATAATTAATTTTATATTGTAATATGCGTTTAATTTATTCTTATAAGTAAACATGCACATTTTAATTATTGTTTATAATAAAATAACGTTGAATAATCATATATAGAAAATAATAATAATAATGTATATACACTTATTATTGTAGTCATGTTTTAGATAGTACAGTTGACGCATGCGTCTTAAAGTATTATACGAAAAATTTCGGCGACTGTCGTAACTGTGTATGGTTAAACTGTGGTAAAGATTATAATAAACCAATGTGAAAATTGCATCGATTCCTATTGCGTACGTTTCATGTTACTGCTGAGCTCTCATTGGCTGAGAATAAAAAAGTAGCCGTAGAAAATAGATTTCGACTATTTCGCTTACGGACTTATTCTACGCCCTATTACACCGAAAAACCAGCTTATTCCAATGTGTTACTTCTTAATCTATTACTGCTATTGCCCACTGTTTTAAAGATAACAAGTTTTACCTTAAGCATGATGAAAACATATCGACAACAAAACATATGTTATGATTTCCATCGTTGTGTTATGTATATGTCTTCAAGTTATAAAATTTTTTTAATTGCAGTTCGTTGCTAACAAAATTTTGACAATAAAAAATGTCACATATTTACGACAACTCTTCGGCAAAAAAATATATAGTTTTTCAGATTTAAATTATATATAAATACTTACAAATCTGCCACTAGATAACGTTTGTTGGTAACTGTTTCTCGCATTTAAAATTTTGTCAAGTCTCTATATAACCAATATCTAATCGAAGTTTGGACATGTCATAATTATTTGTGCACTATTTATATGTGCACTTATGAGATATGAATTTTTGCAGCAAATAAGCTTGATATTGTTTTGAAATTAAATTTACAATGCGATATATGTGATTTTGTTCTAAAACATAGAATTTTTATGTAAATATATGAGAGATCGGATATTAACATGTTTTCATCAAATATATAAATGCTCTTCTATTTTTACAAATATCATGTTGCTGTTAACATGCTGTTTATCACAGATACCACAGCATGATGATAAATTGCTCTCATGTTGCTATCAAATTGCTGTCAACATGTTATTAAACGCGGACAGCAAATCGATGAAAATAGTTGCTATCATGTTGCTATCATACGTATATACGTTGCGTATAACTAAATGATGTTATCAATTTGTTGTAATGAAAATAAGAATTCAAATGAGGGCAAGATTTCACAGTTAGTGAAGAAATACCTTGTCCCTCGTTTATCGATATCTATTGCTACAATGATTGATAGCAACATGATAGCCCAGATAGCACACAGAGCCCAAAAGAATTCATTAGTATATTCAGTTTCATGTCATCAATTCTGAGTTTATTTTCAGGTGCAAAAAGAATCCCTTTTAGAAAAAAAATTCTTTTTGCATCTGAAAATGAACTCAGAATTAGTGACATATAATTGAGTTCTTTTTTCATTCTATGTGCTATCTGGGAACATCTTGAATTTATTTGGCTATCAGGGGTAGTAGCAGTATAGTAGTGGCAGTAGCAGTAGCAGTAGCAGTAGCAGTAGCAGTAGCAGTAGCAGTAGCAGTAGCAGTAGCAGTATCAGTATCAGTAGCAGTAGCAGTAGCAGTAGCAGTAGCAGTAGCAGTAGCAGTAGCAGTAGCAGTAACAGTAGCAGTAAGTAGCAGTAGTAGTAATAATAGTAGTAGTAGTAGTAGTAGTAGTAGTAGTAGTAGTAGTAGTAGCAGCCCCTTATTAAAACCTTAAAACTTTTATTTCAAACATTTTCTAGTAAAAAGCGCAGGAAAAAAATATTTGGGCCATTAAAATGTGGCCCATTCTGTATATACATTATAAATTTAATTATTAAAATATATGTATACATATGTATGTATATACACACGGGGACAATAATGCCTACACATCTAAAGCATGGAGGTAAGAAATAACAGGAGGGAGTGTAAAGCCTTTTTTTGGTGGGGATTACCATGTCGAATGTGATTGATTGGCCACAGTAATATGGCGTTTTATACAAACTTTATTGGAGTTCGGGATTACTACGCCAAATGTGATTGGTTGGCCACAGTAATATGGCGTTTTGTAATGTTCCCCCCTTACGTCTGCTTAGCCAGGCCGCGGGGGAATATGCTCCCTCCTGTTATTTCTTACCTCCATGATCTAAAGTTGCATGCGTATCTAAAGAGACCAATGCGAAGCGTACTTTCCGTCCAGCGCGTGCTTCTCATTGGTCTCTCTAGATACGCATGCAACTTCAGATGTGTAGGCATTATTGTCCCCGTGTGTACACACTCAGTCACAGAAAGGTAGCAATACTTTTTTTAAATCATTTTCGGGACACAGTCTGTTCACCGAGTGATTGGCTCCTACCAATGGATCTAACCACGGCTGTGTTCGCTTTAGCTCTTACAGCGCTCACAACATCATTTTATTATACCTTGTTGTTTATCAAATGTTAAACAAGGACAAATAATGTTTATGAGCGCTGTAAGCGCCAAACCGAACGCAGTCCAATTATATATGTATAGGTGTGAAGCCAACTGTCGGACTAACGATTTCAATAATTTCGAATACGCCATTCGATTGCTAGTCGGTTGCTAATTTTTGCATCTATTTTTATTTTGTTTGCATATTAATTATTTTGGGCAAAAAATTGAAAATGAAATTTGGACAAGTGTAACGGGTGCATGGACATAGGAACATAAAGGGATAGAGCTCAAAATCGTAACTTAGGCGAGGGGAGTAAATCTGAAATGCGGAGGGAGACTCCGCCTGGTTTTTATTGGCTACGGCTATGCGCATGCTCAGTACCGCTTAACCTTCAAATAATTGACAGATTTCGCAAGTCCTATTACATATTAATTCGAATTGAAAATAACTTGGTATTTACTTGCAAAAGGTTAATGTATATTTATATAAGTAATTATTTTCAATATGATATTAAAAAATATACCTTTTATATATTTATATGCATAAATGTATTAATATGCATATATTATACAGGGTGTCCCAAAAAGGTCGGGACACCTAAATATCTCAAAAAATATAAGTTTTACTGAAAAGTGTTTTAGACAAAAGTTATATGGTTTAAAAATATCTATTTACTGATCCTATCAGTTTGACCTTGGATTGCGTAGCCATCAAGGTCAGGTCAAAGTTACATTGATTTTCTTAAATGGAACATCCTATTTTTGAATCAAGAATCTAATAGCTGATGTCGAGAGCTTTCCAAAACGCTATAATGAAATATTTTTCATGAAGTACTATTCAAGTTATAGTGCTTCAAAATTACAGTATTGCCGGCACTAGCATTACCCAAGATATGTAATACCACGCGGAGGTTGCCCAGGCGGATTGACATGTCTTTTGTGCTCGGAGAAAGATTGGAGAATAATGCAGCCAATG